TTTTCTATTTGGAACAGAACTGTTTCTGAAACCTTGGGTTTTCATGTAGTGCAAGTCCACACTTTTCTTCTCCCCGATTTTCCACTACAGCTTGTATTTTTCCAGGGGCACCTTTACAACTTGTATCGGTGGATAGTTTATGTCATCCATGCAATAAAGTTCATTGGTAATATCCTCAATTCCTCATACCGCCAGATGGAAAGGACAATCATATTGTGAATATTATGTTTGCATTATGCAGGATCTACAACATTTCCCTCGCCTCGATGTCAAAGTTATGCTACAGAATGAAGATAAGGAGCAGTCCAAACCTCCAATGCTGAACATTAGAATGCAAATGAAAAATTCATGGCATGCGCCAAGAGCATTTTCCCCTAAGTCCATGAGGTCAGTGACTATGCAAAATTACCATGACTTATAAGTCTCATTGTCAAACATACGGCATTGTATGATTGGATCAGACTGCTGTTACATAAGTTAAACTTTTGTCCCTTTATGGACTCAAATGCAAGATTTGTTTATAGTGATTTATAATGATATACTCGCCAACTTGTTTGTAACCCTCTCAATTTTTTACTACATCTACAGAGTCATATCACAACATCATGCCAAGTTTCATTTTCTTTAGACTTCATTTATCCTCTTTTAAAATCAAGTCATTTAGCTTCATTAAATACCTAGAAATCCATTAATGCCTTAGAAATAGCTAATTAAACCAAATAAGCTTATAATGATGTGCCTTCACGAAAATTGGCAACGGCTCCTAAGGTGCATATGCACCCATTGTCTAAATACACATTTTGGAATGTTGAAAAATTCCGAACAAAAATCCCACGTGTATATCCGGACATTCTATATGCGTGCACAAAGTTTTCGGTGAAAACCGAGGCTTTTTGTGGCTTGTGTAAAAAAATATTTTTTTTACGCTTCACTACAACTATTCATTTTGCATTTTTTTTATCTTTCTTACACAAGCCACAAAAAACGTCGTTTTTCACCGAAACTTTGTGCATGCACATAGAATGTCCGGATATACCCGCGTGATTTTTGTTCCGAATTTTTCAATTTTTCAAAATGTGTATTTAGACAATGGGTGCATATGCACCTAGGAGCCAAAAACTCCCATGAGCCAAAAACCCGAAGGGCAAACATTATCCATTCTAGACTTTCTAGCACATAGTGGTTTTGCTATGATGGAAGAAGAGACGGCCTTTCAGTAATTATCAGACTTCGGGTTCTTCGTAGTCCTACTCCCAAATTCCTTGAAGAAATACATAAATGCATCCTAGTCAAACCATTGTTCATCTAGGATGTATTCTGCACAAGTTTCTTCAAAGAACTTGGGAGTTTGATTAAGAACACAAAGACTAAAAAGCAGAACTTTAATTCTTCTTCTTGTTCTTCTTCATCTTCTTCCTCATATATTCCTCTTCCTCTTGGAGTTTAGGGCATCTGGCTTGAGATGTTGCCTTGCTTGTGTGTTGATGACTGGGCCATGATGATCCACGGATATGCCCTCGTCAAACCCTCAGAACAGGCATCTGAATCCTACATCCACAAACTGCCACTGCAGAAATGTAAACCCTCAGAACAGGCATCTGAATCCTACATCCACAAACTGCCACTGCAGAAATGTAAACCCTCAGAACAGGCATCTGAATCCTACATCCACAAACTGCCACTGCAGAAATGTAAACCCTCAAAACGACGCGCCACAAAAGAAAACCTTACTAGCGTGACGCATTCTACACGGTGCACACATTGGCACAAGTTGTGGGATACCAGGAAGGAAAAGGCGCAACGGTTCACAGCCAAAGCAACTTCGCTGGATTTGAGACACCAAACAGCAAGCATTGATACAGCCAGCAAAAATGCATAGAAACATCAAGTATAAGAACTGCAAAATTAAGACAGACAAGTTGAAAGCCAAACTTATAACACAACTTTCAGTCTCCCTCTCCCTCATCACAGTGTCGATAGCAGAGATAACAAGTTCATCTAGAAAATCCTAAAACACGGGTTTTTTGTCCATAGGGTAGATATAGCAGATCGCATCAGATTCTAGATATCCATTCATGCCTCACAAAATATGAACTTTAAGCCGCAAAGACATCTCAAGGGGACATCCTAGTCTACTCCCAGCCTTGAGCAGGGGGTTGCACCGCGGCGTCCCAGCCAGTAGCAGCCACAACAGGAGCAGGGACGGCACCTTCCACAGCAACAGGTGCCCCTGCTGCATCCCATCCATCGCCACCAGCAACTGGAGCTGGAATTGACAACAAAAGAAAGAAGATGTGATCAATTTCAGTTGTACAACAAAATATTCAACTAGGCCTTAGCATAAACTACTATAATTTTGGAATGGACACTGGAAACATGCAATGTGTCTAACATTAGTCAAGACATCAGGGCAAACTGTTGGGCATGAACTTGTTATAAACAACATGCTATATTGAGTAAAGATGCCACTAATCAAATGCCAAGTAAACTACCACAAGTAATTGCATGTCTGATACTTTTGTGTTCAGTAACTAAAATGCCTTGCACCAACCAGATACATAATCAACCTAGGAAATAATTAGTACTACGCAAATGGCAAATTCATATCACCAAACAAAATTCTACAGAGTTTTCATACAAGGCAAATGAACTTTTAATCAAGGAGAACAAACCTTCAGCCATCGGCCACTCGCCACCAGTAACAGGTGGGGGAGCAGGCGCATCAGAGGTCCACTGGTCACCACCCCATTGACCAGCTGCTGCTCCGTAATCAGTGATGGCAGCATACTCTGGGGCTCCAGCAGCTTCATCCTCCTGCTCCTTGGCTTCCTCAGGGTCCCTGTAGAAGAACAGATCAACCTGCAAAGGGCAAACACATTAGCCTCACAAGCATGCAAAGAATACAAGACAGTCACAAAGCAACACAACTACCCAATTCAACTAGTAGGAAACTGAAAGGTCTATTGAGCTGGCATACCATGACATCCCACTTGTGCCCTGGCAGGATGGTGCCCCTCATCTGCAGAACCATCCTGGCCAAGAGCCAGTAGAGGCAGCCAATGCTGTTCCTCCCCTTGTTGTTTGCTGGGATACCGATATCGACGTATCGCATGGGAGAGTCGGTGTCACAGAAGGCAATGGTAGGGATGTTCCCCAGAGCAGACTCCTTGATGGGCTGCACATAATCCAAGAGATTAATGACTCCATCATGAACATCGCCACATCTAACACACACACCTAGTATATACTACTAGTGGAGTAGTTTGTCATGGCAAAGAAATTCACCTGGTGGTCGGTCCTTGGGTCGGTGAGGATGAGCAGCCGGGGCTCGCTGAAGGAGGTCTGCATCTGGTTGGTGAAGGTACCAGGGGTGTGCCTCCCGGCGATGGCGTTGGCGCCGGTGTGCTGCGCGAACTTGAGGACGGCGCGCTGGCCGTAGGGGCGGGCGGACTGGACGATGATGTCCTGGGGGTTCTCGATGGCGACGATGACCCTCGCCGCGAGCTGGAGCTTCTCCCACGTCTTGCCCAGATTGATGATGTAGATGCCTAGGAATCACAAACAAAGAACAGACGCGTCACATTCCACAGTTCACCTCAAAGAAGAACAGAAGCATCAACACCAATAAGCTCCACGATCCGCAGCAGATCGACTCTAGCTAGCACAAAGCTGCCACTTTGCGCATGATGCCGAGGTAGTTCTACCGTCCAACAGCAAATCGGGGGCGCACGGGTGAAGGTAGATCCATGAGGACAACTGAACCTAAGCGACGCGAGAGCTCGCCAGATCAAGAGGGGTTTGAGCGTGGACGTACCGTCGGAGCGGCGCTTGTAGGCGTAGCGCTCCATCTGGAAGTCGCAGTTCTTGGTGCCGAGGTGGACGTCGGCGGCTAGCATCATCTGTATGTCCTGCTCCTTCTGGGACAGCGCCCGCGGGGCCTCTCCAGCCGCTGCCGCCATGGCTGTCGGGGGCTCGAGCGTCCGGGTGGCGCCGCGAAGGAGAGGAGGAGGAGGGAGGGGTGTGAGCGGCGGCGCGAGCGGGGGGAAGGGGAGGGGGCGAGGGCTCTTATCTGCGGCGCCTCTAAACCCTAGTCGGCTTTTGTAGTGAGATGGGATGGGAATGCTCCTTGGGCCCCCGTAGTGAATGGACCGGCCCAGGTGACCATACATATGGCCTGCTTTCTCCTTCTCCCACGAATTTACTTTTTTTTTCGTCTTAAAAGACGAATTTCCTTTTTTGGCTATTCTTTTTTTAAAATCCAGATGAATTTTCAGAGTCTTTTTGTCAGTGACAAGTATACGTGTCAAATTTTTGTAGGTGACACGGTCGAAAAATGCATATCTGACAGTGAGAATATAATCTTTTACTATACTTTTTATAATAATTCAGTGACAGCATTTTCGACTACATTGGACTGAAAAGTTCGATCAATAGATTAACAAGGGAACACATCCATAGCATTTGCATATCTTCGTTAGATTCCAGCAAGCATGCTGTGGAAGATAAATTTGTGCTGGGGAGCAAAATATAGGGATGCAAGCTGGCATCCCGCTTAGCCCCACGAAATCAATCAGCTAGTACAAAATAAACTAACTCTATCAAACAAAAGCTACAACTAATTTTAATTTTGTATACGAAGCAGGACGGATCCGGGCGCCGCTTTGCATCCCTAGCAAAATACATAGTAGATGAGCAAAAAAAATGCACTCATGAAATTTCAGTCAATTGCAACATTCGACAGGAAAGATGCACTCATGAAACGTCAGGCAATTGCAACATTAGGCAGAAATGCGTAAGAAAACATAATCTGGTACTCATTTAGCTAAAACAGGCGCATCCGATACTCTGAGTGTGTCAAAATGCGGTACACCATACAAGAGAGAATACAATTTCCAAGACTAGCTTCTTCACTGGCTCAAGTTCTATTAAACCCCCTCGGTGGGTCTGGGTGCAGCCGAGACGACAAAGTACTTGATGTCAATCTGATCATGGTTGCTGGATCAGCTCAGGATGGGGAATATGCGGGTCACGTGCTCGAATGGAACAGTGTCGGCTGTGTTCTTCTTGAGTTCGGGGTGATTGAACTCGTTGCGCGGAAGGACAATCAGTTGGGAGCGTGCACCCTTCTCAATGACCCATCCTGAGTTTGCAGCATGATACTCCATAAACTTGTCCAATGCAAGCCCTTCAATGTTGATGGCCTGGAAAAATAAGTGGCAGGCACATCAGCAAAGAAACAATCCATGTATGCAGACAGTAAACCCAATTGGATAAACAGCATTATTTGGCTGATGATGATGCCTTAGGCTGGTATAAATAATACTTGCAGCTATCATCTAATATAATAATCCTTGAATTGACATGAGCTCATAACGAAAGCCTACACAGCATAATAAGGATACATGTCTTACCTCGGCTAGAACTGGCCTGGGAACTTTCTGGTATGTCAAGGAAAGCACATGAATCGCATAGCTTTGGATTGCCTGCTCAAAACCTGCCAAAAAAACTCGCTATGTCATTAACACTTCACTTTTAATTAAAAGACAAAGAACTCTGTAGCGGTTTCCAGTTTGGATTTTAAAAATTCTAGCCTTTTCAAGTGAAAGAAATAAAAATAGGAGATGTTGAAGTTAATATAAGACACCTAGTCAGCTATTTGAAATAAATATGCCATGTAAATGCATACTGAAAACAAAAAGGCTAATGAAAAGGGGGGCTCTGCAGAAACTAAGCTTCTTTAGCAAATACAGTAAACCAGAAAATCTGCACTTGTGTAAATCACACAAGTCTGATAACAAGGACATGGTTCAAAACTCAGGAATCCTATGTGGGAACTAACATTCATTCACAAGCACTCGTACTGCCAATGCCTACCAACAAGCACTAGTACTGCCAACGAAGCTCCAATGTCTCAAGATGTATACCTGGTACAACATCCAGTATGTTACGGCTCTTTGATGCCTCATCCCAAAACTGGCGGAACCTACCAGTCTGTAAGCGGATTAATCAAGGTTAGCAGTCAATACTCAATACAGGCTAGTTCATAGGCATCCATAGATTACTCAGTTCTGCAGAGAAAGTGTGTACCTCCAGGTAGTGAGACAGAACTATCAACGTCTTGAACTGCTCCTCCATTTGCTATAGTAAAGCGCATAAAAGTCAACACCACGTAACAGCAGAACAGTTCAGAATATTTTAAAAGATGCACAACTAAAAGGTCACAAATACAAACATCTCACATCTTATACATATGTACAACTAATTTGTATTGTGCAATATTAAGATGTTTCAGTGACCAGAAGGGATACTTCCTTCAAATCAAAATGCACATTCCTTAAAATTATACTAAATAAAAATATGCTTATTCCATCAACTAGAAATCCGCAAGTAATTATGATAGTGTGCATCTCCCGGAATACAGATATGACATGCTCCAAGGCCAAAGTAACAATCATCGACGATGACAAAACGATCAATTAACATTCACATCTAAATCGACACTTTAATTTTTAGACACTCCTAAGATGCATGTTTAATAGCATTTGCTTGAGAAAATAACAAATATAAAGGGGACGATAAAAGATAGATTACACAGAAGCAGGGAAGCAGGACAAATTTCTCATACCACGTGTTCAGGAATTAAGAACAAGCATAGGCTGAAGTCAGGGGCTGGCATTGCCATGAGAGCCTGTCATCAAAACAACATGTGTGGAGGTTGAGAATGAACCAACAAAAGGTGGTATTCAAAAAACTGTTATAACCATTAGTTGTTCTCTGACCTTGATCAATATGCGGGCTACAATTTGTACGCTCAACCTTTCTGGCTCAAACTGCAATAGGAAATCAATCATTTATGCATACATATAATCGAGGCATAATATGGCTAGAAATGGTTCATATGCAAATGCGATTTTACCTGGTAAAGGCGTAGAAGGCTGAGATTTGCATCCAGGTTATATGTTTTAGAAGAAACCTAGTAAAAACGAGATATATTGTTAATTTAAGAGGATCGAAACATGACATAACTTATGGGGTGTCACACAAGAATAGCATGCTTGTGCGCAATACACAGAGCCTAAAAGCAGTTTATTCAAGCATGTTTCTGTAGATTTAACAGGCTGAACAACCACTGTATCAATCAATAGATTAAGCGTGATGTATGTGTATCATCTGCACAAAAGCTTAAGTTTGCCACTTCATGATCATAGGCATAATCTTTGAGCAGAGATCCACCTCTCCATCCATCCACCATTGTATGAACATGTGGTTGAGGCTGAGAGGGAGGTATTCAACCCCTTCAGAGTTCAGACAGCGATTGCAAATTTAATCTGCCTATTCCCATGGCAGCAAAACACAATTTCCTCGGCAATCCCTCTCTATGACCTTCCAGACTACAAAGTAAGCACTGTAACTTAATTCACGCTGATGATCAACTGATAAAAGTTTACTACTCCGGGCAACTTAGTACACTAAAATCCAGAGGCAAAGACGAAAATACTGCTAAATTTCTAGCACCTGCACATTGCTACGAACTGCTTCCATCTGACAACGCCGCACGGTTTAGCACGCCAACCAACCAACCAACCGATTTCGCGACCGTTCCATCGTTGACACCAGACGGCGCTAACGATTAGCGCAACCAACCACGGAACCTGCCGGCTGAGCCTTTCGCGAGTCACGCAGACCAACTACATGGACGGAACTGGCAGGGGTAAGCGCGCCCCAGGGCTAGGGTTTACCTGCTCGTTGACGAAGACCTCGAGGTCGTTGAGGATGTCGGGGTTGTAGGGGTTCACCGCCACGAGCTCCTCCACCGTGTAGGTCTCCGCCGGCTGCTCGTTCGCCATGGTCGCCGGAATAGGGAACCCTAACGCGCGCTGGATCGGCAAACCCTGGGAGACGCGAGCGGGAGGGGAGAGAAGTGGCGGCGCAGAGGGAGGGGAAGTGATGGCTGGAAGGGTTTCCGGGTTCGCGTGAATTTGTCTCTTTAGTCCCTCGGTTATCCGCGCACTGACACGCGGCAAATGCGTTGGTGTACTCACAAGGTTATGATATTATACATGTGCCCCTCGATATTTACTTGTATTTCCGCAAAAGTTGCATTTACACGAGTCTACTCGCTACGTTTCTAAATATAAGTCCTTTTACATATTTCAATAAATAAAACTATATATAAATGTACTTAGACATATTCTAGGAAGTAGATTCACTCATTTTACTTCATATGTATTGTAATCCTTTATTGAAATCTCTAAAAAGACTTATATTTGTGAATAGAGGGAGTACGATGTACTCGATTGTCCATCTCAAGAAAAGAAAAATGCACTCCCTTTGTTTTATAGATTATTTATAAAGTTCTAGGTTTTTTAATTTAAAAAAGTGTTGACCAAGTATGGAATATATGGAACAATAGTTTGTCCAAAAAATAGTATACAGAACAATATATCAGTATCAACAACACGAATTTGTTTCATTATATTCACCACAAAATAAGTTTTGTGACTATTTGTGCATGAACCGCGCGTGTTTAGAGTTGTGGGTATTATCAGATATAGAAAACTTTGTATTAGAATAAAGTTAAAACTTGAACTAGCTTGGAGTAGATAGAATAACACTTACACGAGGTATCACTACAAATTGCCCTTCTGCCTGTTTTTGTTGTGTTGGTACACAAGTTACCTCGTCTTTTGTGTGCTATCTCTACTCGCGTTTTATCATGTGGTGTATCATCAAACTTAAACTGTACTAAATTGTTGTAGAGGTCCCATCATTGCAAGTGATTGTTTTCTATCCCTCCGTAAACTAATATAAAAGATTTTAAATCACTAAAATAGTAAACTAAACGCTTTTATATTAATTTATAGAGGAAGTATTTGCTACTTCCTGAGCTTGCGTAGATTTTTTCCTTCAAAAGGGAAGGGTGTGCATCAAAGTAGATATGAGTATTTCGCTCATTTAAGAATTAAGATATCAATCCAGTAGGAAGAACACAGAAGTCTCTAATGATAGCACATGCATAAACAAACAAATACTTGCACCCAACGTGGTAAAAGGGGTTGTCAATCCCTTCACGGTTACTTACAAGGATGAGATCTGATAGAGATGGGTATAAAAGATAAATAAAAATGCAAAATAAAGTAAAGGTAAATAAATTGCAGCAAGGTATTTTCGGGTTTTTTGTTTCATAGATCTGCAAATAATATGATATGAATAGATCCGGGGGCCATAGTTTTCACTAGAGGCTTCTCTCTTGAAAGAACACATACGGTGAGTGAACAAATTATTGTTGAACAATTGATAGAAAAGTGAATAATTATGACGATATCCAAGACAATGATTACGAATATCGGTATCACGTCCGTGACAAGTAGACCGGCTCATGCCTGCATCTACTACTATTACTCTACACATCGACCGCTATCCAGCATGCATCTAGTGTATTACTCAATATGAATAAATCCCACCTTTCTATCCGCAATGACAATAATACAAATACGTGTCATGTTCCCTTCTGTCACTGGGATTGAGCACCGCAAGATTGAACCCATTACAAAGCATCTCCCTCATTGCAAGAAAAATCAATTTAGTTGGCCAAACCAAATCAATAGATCGGGGAGAAATACAAAGCTATCTTAATCATGCATAAAAGAGTTCAGAGAAGACTCAAATAATATTTATAGATTATCTGATCATAAACTCACAATTCATAGGAACTCAACAAACTCACTGTAAAAGAAGATTACATCAAATAGATCTCCAAGAACATCGAGGAAAACATTGTATTGAAGATCAAAGAGATAGAAGGAACCATCTAGCTACTAGCTATGGACCCGTAGATCTATGGTACACTACTAACACATCATCAGAAGGCAATAAGGTTGGTGTAGAGGCCCTCCGTGATCGGATCCCCCTCCGGCAGAGTACCGGAACAGGTCTCCAGCTGGGTTTCACAAGGACAGAGTTACTAGTGCCATGCGCCTGACACGTCATTAATGTGTTTGTTATGAGTGGTGTGCATGTGGCACGCCACTAGGAACATCTATTAGTGGCAAGATACTAGTGACGTGTCATCCCCACGTCACTAATGACCTATTTGGCAATACCACTAGTTCAATAGATATTATCTTTGCCTCCGATTGATGTCGCGTCAATTGCCCATGAAAACACAACACAAACAAGTTGCAATGAACATGCCCGCTACATCTCAAATAATAATCGTGAAGCTTTTGTGTACTAGCGAGACCATGAAGGTGTTAATACCTATGTGTGAGTTACATTATCACCCCTGACCATAATGGGATGGTAGGATCTTCTTGACCGTTGTACAACCATCTTTTTTCTTAACACAATACAGACGCAAACACTCGTATATACGCATATACACTCATCTCTATAAATGCATGCACAACGTACCTTATGAGCATCTCCAAGGGACCGAGCCGACACATCATTCCACTGAATGCACATCGCCGAAAGGACTTGAATGAATCCAGAAAAATGCAAGCAACAACGTCAAGTATATGACTTGAACCCTCTTGGGATGGAAATACCACTATCCTCCTAGCCGTTCGATCACGGGTTGGCTCACTTGTATGGCCGTCTAGAATACCATTTTCTTACATCTGATGGTACCGCAACATGTTTATAGTGTGGTTGTCCAAAATCTTTATTGGAGAATGCAGTTATCCAAAATCTTTATCGGAGAATCTCAACCATTCATGTACTGCAGTAAGAGCATCTACAACCGGGCGCCTCACACCCCCCCTCATACGTGTCGATGATACGTCTCCAACGTATCTATAATTTTTGATTGCTCCATGCTATATTATCTACTGTTTTAGGCAATATTGGGCTTTATTTTCCATTTTTATATTATTTTTGGGACTAACCTATTAACCGGAGGCCCAACCCAGATTTGTTGTTTTATGCCTATTTCAGTGTTTCGAGAAAAAGGAATATCAAACGGAGTCGAAACGGAACAAAATCAACTGGAGAAGTTATTTTCAGAACGAAAGCCACCGGATAGACTTGGACTCCATGTCAGGAGATACGGGAGGTGCTCACAAGGGTGCCCCCCCTAGGGCGCGCCCCCTGCCTTGTGGGGCCCCCGTAGCTCCTCCGACGTACTTCCTGCACCCATATATATCATCGTACCCTAAAACTTCCAGAACGGAGAATAGATCGGGAGTTCCGCCGCCAGAAGCCTCTGTAGCCACCGAAAACCAATCTAGACCCATTCTGGCACCCTGCCGGAGGGGGAATCCTTCTCCGGTGGCCATCTTCATCATCCTGGTGCTCTCCATGACGAGGAGGGAGTAGTTCTCCCTCGGGGCTGAGGGTATGTACCAGTAGCTATGTGTTTGATCTCTCTCTCTCTCTCTCTCATGTTCTTGATTTGGCACGATCTTGATGTATCGCGAGCTTTGCTATTATAGTTGAATCTTATGTTTCTCCTCCCCCTCTTCTCTCTTGTAATGAATCGAGTTTCCCATTTGAAGTAATCTTATCGGGTTGAGTCTTTAAAGATTTGAGAATACTTGATGTATGTCTTGCCGTGGATATCTGTGGTGACAATGGGATATCACGTGATTCACTTGATATATGTTTTGGTGATCAACTTGCGGGTTCCGCCCATGAACCTATGCATAGGGGTTGGCACACGTTTTCGTCGTGATTCTCCCGTAGAACTTTGGGGCACTCTTTGAGGTCCTTTGTGTTGGTTGAATAGATGAATCTGCAATTGTGTGATGCATATCGTATAATCATACCCACGGATACTTGAGGTGACATTGGGGTATCTAGGTGGCATTAGGGTTTTGGTTGATTTGTGTCTTAATGTGTTATTCTAGTACGAACTCTAGGGTTGTTTGTGACACTTATAGGAATAGCCCAACGGATTGATTGGAAAGAATAACTTTGAGGTGGTTTTGTACCCTACCATAATCTCTTCGTTCGTTCTCCTCTATTAGTGACTTTGGAGTGACTCCTTGTTGCATGTTGAGGGATAGTTTTATGATCCAATTATGTTAGTATTGTTGAGAGGACTTGCACTAGTGAAAGTATGAACCCTAGGCCTTGTTTCAACGCATTGCAATACCGTTTACGCTCACTTTTATCACTTGCTACCTTGTTGTTTTTATTATTTCAGATTACAAAAAACTATTATCTACTATCCAAATTGCACTTGTATCACCATCTCTTCGCTGAACTAGTGCACCTATACAATTTACCATTGTATTGGGTGTGTTGGGGACACAAGAGACTCTTTGTTATTTGGTTGCAGGGTTGCTTGAGAGAGACCATCCTCATCCTACGCCTCCTACGGATTGATAAACCTTAGGTCATCCACTTGAGGAAAATTTGCTACTGTGCTACAAACCTCTGCACTTGGAGGCCCAACAACATCTACAAGAAGAAGGTTGTGTAGTAGACATCAAGCTCTTTTCTGGCGTCGTTGCCGAGGAGGTTAGCGCTTGAAGGTATATCTTTAGATCTTGCAATCGAGTCTTTTAGTTTCTTGTTTTATCACTAGTTTAGTTTATAAAAGAAAACTATAAAAAATGGAATTGAGTTTGTCTCATATGCTTCACCTTTTTAATATTTTTCGTGAGTATGATGGAAAGGATAATTGCGCTCAAGTGCTAGAAGAAGAATGCATTAGAATGTTTGGCACTAAATATTTGAATGATGAGCATGATTGCAATGTTGTTAGTATGAATTCTTTGAATATCCATGATGCTAATGATGATTGCACTAGTTATGATGAAAATGCCTCCTATAAACATGTCAATTTTTGTGGAGTAGACTGGGTTTGCAAGTACACACCAAATAGGGAAGATAGATATTG